GGCCATCGGTGATCGGTCCTGTGGGAACAATGCTCCGGCCTCTCGAGGACGCGTGGTCAATGGTCCAACCGCTAAGGCATGCCAAACATAAGNAAGGTTGCCGAGAATTGTATGGGAGGCGAAGGTGGGCAAACATAAAGAGGGGTAGACAACCCACGGAATGGGTCAAGGTTGTAGAGGACGTATGGAAGGGGCTCGACATCGACGAAGATGAAACGCTGGAAACGGAGGGTCTACAGGGGTTCAAGGAGAAGATATCTGTTGCTTGTGCCGAGAGNGACAACCCACGGAATGGGTCAAGGTTGTAGAGGACGTATGGAAGGGGCTCGACATCGACGAAGATGAAACGCTGGAAACGGAGGGTCTACAGGGGTTCAAGGAGAAGAAGATATCTGTTGCTTGTGCCGAGAGAGAACATAATCTGAGGAAAGAATCCAAGGATAATAAGGAGGGTCTGGAAGTGTACGGCATGTTGAAGGAAGGAATAGCGTTCAAGGATCACCTACATGGACCAATGGATGCAGGAACAAGCTTAAGGTCAAATTCAGGACCGGGGACATAGGCCTTCGACAGCGTCGACGAAGACATAGGACGGTAGACGACGAAGACGACGACTTCAAATGTGATTGCGGCTTCGAATGCGAAGACCGTGTTCATGTAGTCGCGGAATGTTCGTCGTACAAGGAGAGGGAAGTGTACGTGACTGAGCTGGGGAAATAGATGGGACGTACAGGGAGATGTTTGAGGCATGGAATAGAGAGGAAAGGACGGTAGCTGTACTGGGGAATAGGAGGAGGTGGGTTAAAAAGGCGGGAAGGGATATCGTTAGGATAGAATAGACAGACTAGTTTAGGGAAGACATTTTTGAGCCACCTTTGGCAAAGTAGAAAGGAACGATTGGCCATCGGTGATCGGTCCTGTGGGAACAATGCTCCGTCCTCTCGAGGACGCTTGGTCANAGGACGCGTGGTCAATGGTCCAACCGCTAAGGCATGCCAAACATAAGAGTACGCTCCCCCCCCCTCACCCCCCTCCCACGGCGTTCGGGGATAATTACACCGCCAAAAAATAGTTCTGAAAGTTAGCCTTCCATGCATAATAAGCGGGTTTGCGGTGGGATCGCCTTAGCTGTTGAGCTATAATGATTTTGGTGGCGTGAAGTGCCTTCTGCTGTGATGGTAACAGGGTTAAAACTTTTGTCACAGCACGAACCCACCGCTCTAGGTAGGTTTATTCTAATGCTGCTGACGAAAGCTTCCTCACGAATATTTTGGTTGCACATGATTCCGTGGGAGGCCTTCATGTTTTTTCAAAGGGCCCAAAATCGGCCTTACAAAGGCCGGCACTGTAGTACATGTAGCGAAGAAGGATGCCCCCTCATCATCTGGGAAGCTAGCGGGACCTTTTCGCACCACAGCATGGTCGCTGCAGATCCTGGTCATTGGGCGTCATTCCTCCCTCCCGATATTTGCATCACTTTTTTCAACCCATCTATTCCACACCACTCTTTGTAGAAAGTAGTCTAAACATAACCTCACAGGACTACCCGTTCGAGATGTAACCTCAGTCGAAAGGTATGTGGTGTAAGTCTTTTCAGTAAGTGGATTGAAACCAACTGGAGAATTGGCATATTTTGAGTTTGTGTAAGCCGAACACTTGAGTTGATCAGTGATGCCAGTTAGTTGGAGCACAGAACAAAAGCTCTTTTACCTCGTCTCGACCACCGACCCACTATTTTCACAACCCCATCGTCTTGATACATATACCACCCACGGCAGTACTGACTGGACTATGCACACAAGAGCAGTGGCGCACCATGAAGAGTATCACGTGCAACAACTGAGAACTGTCATCGTCGGAACACCATTATGCTGCTACACTTGCTCGCCCAGTTTCATACACGGTGCGGCCTCTCTCGCCCCACCACCACCAGGCCGGAAGCCCTTCGTGAACAAAAATAAACATCGCGCCTTGAACATCCTCGAGATAGAGCAGCCGCGAAAAACGTCAACACCAACGCGGCCCAACAAGCAGCACCAACAGGTACCGTCAGTGTCGAGACTTTCGAGTCACGAAATATATACAAATAATGCACAGCTTACATCGGGGCTACGCCAGAAGCGCGCTCCATCGGATCTGTCATCCCCACCCCCTATATGCCAAAACAAGTTGCGCACAATGCGCTACTATCTTCTAGCAGCGATCATATACACCCCGAACCGCCCACGAGAACACCCCAGCAAATTTGCCGTTCAGGCACACGCTCACTCTTCACCCGACGCAGCTCAACCACCACAAAACAGCACGATGCGTCCTTCAGCCTGCCCGTCCAGCCGACATACCCCCCCAAAAAAATCGACTCTTCACACGAGCCGCGCACGCGGGTACAGTACCAGTTGCACATGCATCAAACATTCGGCGGTCCATCCACAACGTCCCCCTCCCATTCCCCATCAACAACATCCTCCCCGTCCCCTGCGCCGCCAACCTCCTGGCGGAGCGGCGGCGGCGGCGGCGGCGGCGGAACTCCCCGCAGGTAGTCGGCGCCTCCCACGTGCGCGCTCGGCAAAAGGCTCATGGCGTCGAACCCTTCGCGCAGCGCCTCCTCTTCGTCCTCGTCTCGGGTGACCTGGTGCGGGTTGACCTCCGGGTAGTCCTTCCCCGGCACAGCGACCTGGACGTGGGAGAGGCCATCCCTGTCCATGACAACTCTCTTGACGGGGGTGCCTTTCTTGGCCATGAACTCCTCGAGGTTGCGCCCGAACTCGGGAAAGTCCAGCTTTTGTATTTCGGNGCCCTCTTCCGCAATTTAGACAGGGAAGGGGGGGCCTTAGAGGGGCGGTGATGATGGCCGTGTTGCACATGGGTGAGACAGCGTACTCTCTGCGGTCCCGCCCTCAACGTGCAGCATGCAGATAAGAGTAGGCCCACCAGTCGTTGACAAACTCAACACTCCCGAAAAACACTCCCTGTTGGTTGCGTGTTGTGAATTTACAGGCGTACGAATAACGGGCGACGTGTACGAAACTTGGCCCGAGCGATGAACATCAAAGAGTGGTGCGGCGTCTTGTGGCTGCGCAGGATGCGATCGACAGCTCGAAGACCGTTCAAGGAAAATTATATGTCCTATCATAGAAGGTCACAGCAGCATTTTTCACCTTCCCAAGGTTGTCTGCGATGAGGTGCTTCTGGTTGCAGTGCTGGCACCAGAGTACAACTATGCCCTGCATGAACGAGACCCGGTTGATCTGCAGGAGGAGAAAACCACGTTGGGTCGGAGGGGATGGCATACACAAGGAAATGGG